TATGCATCCGAAGAAGTGGGTTGTAGCCCACGAAAGCTTATGCTCTAATAAATTTGTTAGTCTCTAAGGTGCCACAAGTACTCCTGTTCTTTTTGCGGATACAGACTAACACGGCTGCTACTCTGAAACCTGTCATTATCCCTTAGATTTTCTTCCTGGTGAAATCCATCATTTCATGATCACTTTCACCCAAATTGCGTTCCACTTGGAGATTTGAAATCAAGAAGCATTCAATCTTCCAATAGTGGTACTGCCTAATAGTTGTCACCCAGTTCAGGATAAGTGTGTGTTGTCCAGAGGCTTTTTTGAAACACAAAATACCCAAGTTTCTCCCTGCAACCAGTACCGCTGCTTCATGCCTTTGCCTGGAGTTTTAGTCTAAATTAATTCGTGACTGAATTTGCTAATAACACCAAAACAGAAGCAAGTACACAGGAAGAGAGAACCAAACATCAAAGAAGTCCAGGCATTATGGATCGCAGACTGTGAAGGAAGAATAAGTTTTAGGACACTGACAACTTAACCATATTTACAAAAAGTCAATCGTTCTACTACTATTATCACGTTGGACACCTCAAAGTCACATCTATATTTATCTAGTTTTATAGATTTATTTCAGATGATAATTCAGATGCTGACAGAGCAAGTTTGGCAATGCATCAGAGTGCTTTCTGTTCATTTGCACCAGCGTGGTAAGGACATCACAACTCTCATACTCTATAGGTATAAGAGTCGACTCAGAAGAGCAAGGCTGTTGGAGGGGCATCCCACCCAATACACAGGTTGAAGAATGTGGGTGGTAGACCTGTCCCCAAACACACAGGTTTTAAGAAGGATTGGATTCAGGCCTGAACGTCTCATAATCCAGATTTATTTCCTCATGTGCTCCTGAAAAAGCACTGTACATAGTAGCAACCCAGCCGTGGCCTTCTCCTCTTCTGAGAAGTGCTGCCAGAGCCATGTTCCCTGTGCATGTGGTGTAAATCTTCAAAAACAAAACAACCGTCTCAGTGTTATTTGCTAAAAAACAACATAAATTTAACAAAAAATAATACAAAGACTTGATACCTCTACGGTAAATATGAAATCCTCCACTCAGGGAAAGGAAATAAATAGCAAGATACAAAGCTGGAGTGGATGGGATAGAATTGAGCAGCAAATCCCCTGCCTAAAACTGCATTTGTTTCCATCTTGACTCCTCTTGACTGTCCTAATGTTAGTTATTCCATGGACCCAAACATCAACTGCTTGCCTTCAGTCCAGGTGGGAAGACAGAATTTGGAGAAGGATCCATGAGAGGATTTTGATCATAAGAAGAGAAAAGGGCTTGTGGTTTAGTTTAGATAGGAAGATCAACAAAATGTATTTCAAATTTGACATATTAGGAAATATGTATCCCTCATTTTCTTTTATGGATAATGAGTGAGATTTTCAAACATGACTACAGAATGATGTACCAAATGTTTGAAAAATACCACCATATAACTTTAAAATGCAAATTGCAGTTAAATACACATACACATTTTCTTTTTCCACACAAGTCACTATTTAGTTTACTCATGCTATTTGTTCATTGGCTCTCAGAAGCAGACATGCCAAACCCACGGAAAAAAACACAAAAATTGGGCTTGTTTTTGGCTTAATTGGCTTGTGAGTTGCTTGTTGGCTAGTTTTTGGCTTGTAGTTTGTTGCTTTTTCTTTTTTGATCAGCTCCTCGCAAGCAGGGGCAAGGTGGTGGTGGGGAGGGGGGGGTAAGCGAGTCGGGATACACAGCGGGCCCACCACAGTCCCAGACTGCACGCCAGAGGGATCTAGTCACATAGAGTGTTGAGGTTCTTAGGGATTGCCTTGTTTTGGCCTTGTTTTGAAATGGTATTAGCTTGATTTTTGGCTTATTATGAAAATCGGGGTGCTTATTTACCGTGTGAAAGTTGGCAACTGTGCTCAGAAGCGTTCTTACATTCTCAGACAAACACCTGAGTAAACAAAGTGTTTAATGTAAGTTGACATTAGTTAGTAAGTTGACACCAGGTTAGCAGAAGACTGCTGGGTGACTACCTCTTGTCTGCCATGTCATCATAAACTCATCAAGGCTAGGACTTGTCTCTTAAATTGAGCTGATTAAAACTTGGAATTTCCATTCTGTGGGAAAGTCAAGCATTTCACAATTTCTTTTTGTCTTGAATTGGAACAAAAAGTTGAAATTTCAAAATTTCCCACAAAACGAAATTTCCAAAGTAATTCATTTCAATAAGGGTGAAGGGCTTCATTTTGACTTTTATAATATCAGATGTCAAAACAACGAGCTTTGACCTCATGGAACTAAACATTTTGATAACTTACTATTAAAAATGGTGAAACTGATATGTTCCCATGAAACGTTTTGATATTTTCAAATCTGCATTTTCCAATGGGAAATTGATCCATCAGAAAAAAATCTGGTAAGCTTTTCTCTTACTCTGTACAGCGCCAAGCACAATGGAGCCCTGGTCTCAGATGGGACTTCTAGGCACTGCTGTAATGCAAACAACAGAGGAGGCTTCTCTGTTTTGCTTGTGAGCCACTAGTTCCATTCTGAGAAATATTTCTTCTGGAGGAGGTTGTAATAGATCTGCATGGCAGCTCCTACAAGGGGGAAAAGTATGCCAGAGCCCTAAATTCAGGTCTTGTGCATTTCTGTTGAACCTGAACATTAAGTTCTCTCTCTTTGCTTCAGGGAGGCTTGTAGATTTATATCAGCTGATGTACTTGCATACTCAGCCACAGTAAACTGAATTGACAAGATACAAGGAGATAACATGCAAAAAGGAGCTAAATACCAAGAGCTAGATGGTAAACAGAGTGGGAAGATTGGAAGAGATGGGAGCAAATGAATGAAATACATCCCCAGCATGAAAAGATGGGTAATACCACATGGTTTAAATGCCAGGCACTAATACAAAAAAATATTTACTGAATGGTTTTAATTATACTTTCAGTATAAGGCATCTGTGCATATTTCGCAGAGGGCTGATATCCCTGATAAGCTATACCGGAAGATAAAGTTGGCATCTGATTAATTTAGTGACTGCTGCTTTATAAAACAAATAACTAAGGTGGGCAGAGAGTCACTTACTTTATATATAGAAGGAATGATTTGGTTCATTTTCAGCCTGTGAAACACAAAGACGTCATAAACTGCTGAAACTGCTAGAACAGTCACTCCTTGCTCCTTCCACAACATGCTGCAGCCAGCACAGAGTCCTGTCCCCAAGATCCAGCCCCAAGTGCTGGTTGAGTAGCTTCTTGTAGAGCAATGTTTAACATAACACATCAATGAGAGCAGAAAAAAGAAGCAGGCTCCAACATCAGCCCTCCCCACAATTCCTGCCACTGCTTCAGTGTGGATTGGATGAGACGCAAACAGCAGGCCTGCGATTAAGGTCCAATATCCATCCCCAAACAAGATTCTGGAGAAGTTTGTGAAAAGCCCGGTGACTGCAGCGTGTAACAGAACATTTACAAGGTGGTAGCTCCAAGGATCCATGCCTCCAACTGCATGGTTAATGCGAAAGGAGAGCGTGCAGAGAGGACGGTAGGACTTGTGACTCCCGCTGTGGGTGAGGAGAGTTCCCCAAAAATCATTGTAGAATATGTGGATCCAGGGGGTTTCTGGCAGAAGATCCTGGTTTGTCTTGATAGCTCGGCTATTAAAAAAATAAAAAGACAGAAATGAATCAAACAGTCAAAAAAGACAACTGAGAAGATACAATCATATTGCTACGGCAATGCAAAAAGGTCCTTGTTTCGTTATTCTTTATGTTGTGCAAGCAAGAAAATGGCATTATGTCAATGCTATTTTACTTTGAGTTCTGAATTTTTACTAGAGTACAAGAGGTGTTAAAAGTGTCTGTATCTATCGACTTTTTCTAAAATAAATTTCCATATAAATTGGCTTTTAAAACATTAGAAACAGATGTTATGCTGAAGCCATTAAATAAAACACCCTTCGATGACATTCATCTGAGTCTAGCCCATGAGCAATCGCTTAAGATTTGATGGGTTATAATTAAAATGTAAAAGAAATATGAAAAACTGACATACTGACAAACATTGTTGAAACAACTGATCCTCGAGCAATTCAGAACTAAAACCCCAGCTGGCCTTTCATACTCAAATTTTAATTTAGATGTTAGAATGATTCTGACTGTCATGGATGAACAATAACTACATGAAGTCACTAGACATATGCATATTTTGTGCTGCTACATTGGCCCGTTCATAGACTTTCCTGTATATATTTTGCCTGACATAGAATTCTCAGAGAATGCCATAGGTGTGGCCAGAAGACAGAGTATGTTAAGGATACAATTCCACCTTTTCTTCAAATATCTTAAATTTATAAAAGATTTATATTTTACATTTTAAGATGTACTACTCTATGAATTCTATGTTGTGACTACCTTACTGTAAAAGTAAAACTTAGTGTAAGAGCTTAGTTTTATCCGTTTGTGGTCTGCATGTCTACATTCAGCTCACTAGAAACCTGTTCACCATAACATTTGCAAAACTATTTATTCTTACAAATCCTATAATCTGTATTTACAAATCACAATATGGGAGAAGGTTTTAGACCCACACAGCTTAAATAGATGTCCAGTGTTCAAATAATAGCTTGCCCCATATGTAAAACAATCTTTATAAAATTCTTGTTTCAAGATGCCTTGTTCTAACTACTAAATACAGAATGGACACTGTTATTATTATTACTCAACATTTATATTACAGTAGCACCTAGAGTCCAATCAGGTCGAAGCTCCATTGTACTAGGAGCTGTACAAACATGTAGTCAGTGATAGTCTCTCTGAGTTCAGATTTGCTAGTTACAGAGCCACCTGTGTCAGGGCCTACCTTCCCAACTGGGACTAAATACAACAAATAAGCCCAGACATTTACCAAAAACATCACATGGCACGAAGAGGCCACAGCAAATGCAATTCATTTGCCAAATCACATTTATTTTCACCAAGAGGCTGCAATATATTGTGGAAAACACGTGCACCAGTGAACTGAAAAATCACTTCACAGTTCTTTCCAGTGACATGGCACAGTTAGAGAACACCCCAGAGCAAAGGAGCAGATGGATATGCCTTTTACTTCACTGACATGCTTCACAATTCGTAAAAACCCATTTTTAGAGTGCCCTGCTCTCTAAAGAGAAGGGATGGAATCCTAGCTCCACTGTAGTCTTATTTAACAGCCATAGTTAACAGGATGGAGAACTCTATTCTGGGAAGCAGTGACCCTGAAAAAGACTTGGGGGTCATGGTGGATAATCAACTGAACATGCGCTCCCAGTGTGATGCTCTGGCCTAAAGATCTAGTGAGGTGGTTGGAAGTATAAACAGGGGAATATCAAGAAGGAATAGACAGGTTATAAAACCTCTATTTGGCACAGGTGTGACCACTACTGGAATACTGTGTCCAGTTCTGGTGTCCACAATTCAAGAAGGATGTTGATTAATTGGAGAGGGTTCAAAGAAGAACCAAGAGAATTAAAGAATTGGAAAACATGTCTTACAGTGAGAGCCTAAGGGAGCTCAATCTATTTAGCTTAACAAAGAGAAACTTAAGGGGTGACTTGATCACAGTCTGTAAGTGTCGAAGAGCAGAAATTTGATAAGAGGTATCTTCAGTCTTGCAGACAAAGGTAAAACAAGATTCAGTGGCTGGAAGTTGAAGCTAGACAAATTCAGACTGGAAATAAGGTATACATTTTTAACAGTGAGGGTAATTAATCACTGGAACAACGTATTAAGGACTGTGATGGATTCTCCATCACAAGAAACTTTTAAATCAAAATTGGATTTTTTTTCTAAAAAGAAATGCTTTAGTTCAAACCAGTTTTAATTCAGGGAAGTCCTATGGCCTGTGTTATGCAGGAGGTCAGATGATCAAAAACATCCCATCTGGCTTTATAATCTATGAATCTGTGAAGATGATCGACAAATTCCCACTGAATTCAAAGGGGCCAGTATTCTACCCAATATGTTGAGAAAAGAGTTACTAGAACACTATGACGAGAAGGTTCTTCTTCTTCAACATGAAACACAGAGATACAACATTATGTTTTTCCATACTCACTCCTTCCACATGGACACACATGGACACGCACTAGAGAGACTAGCCAAAATCAAGTCTTTAAATTTAGACAGCAGAGAGGAAAGGCCTGAAATTCAGATCTGAAAGTAAATGTTGAAGCTGAAGTCCTTTTCTGCACTAGAAAGGATATAACAGACACTTTAGCTGGAAAAATATAAAAAGTGATCTCAAGAGTCTCATATAGGCCATCTTATTTTTTATGCCATTATTTTAAGGGACTTGTGTGTGAGAGTGACACATTTCTTTAATAAAAAATGCTTATATGATAAACTGTAGCAACTCCATGCAAATACTCTAAATGCCATGTAGCTCAGCAGTTCCATTGTCTAAAGCACATTCCTCTAATGCCTTTAGACATGCTTACTGTCTGCATGTCCTTTTGTCTCTGCACGTATGGAGGTTATGAAGAGGTCGCCATAAATCCTTTAAAGATCTGGTGATGCCTCTTAAAACACTTTACATTTTTCATTTTGAGTTCTGCTTCTACCATGGATCAGGTTGCCTGTGTTTGTTTTCCCAACCCCACAAACACTTTTTCCTTTCACTACTACTAATAGAGGACATTTTTTATTTTGGGGGATTGGGCAAGGGTGGGGATAATTTTTGTTTTTAAAAGCTTTTATCTGCTCCTGCTCTTTACTCCTTTTCGGAAATCTTAATAGAGCCTCTGTTTGTGATTTCACAATTGGCGATAACAGCTTTGAGAGCAACCAACAGAGGAACAGAAATTCACGGGAGAATGGAGCAGGCTTGGGGCTAGATACTGCACAGAATTACAACTATTCTTTGGGATAACAAAGTTCAAGGCCTTGGCTGACATATAGATTATATGGGGATGGCAGCACTGGCACAGATAAATCCCAGTGAGCGTGGCTAAGAGTGATTGAAAGATACACTGATGGAGTATGGAAGCTCCTTTAAAAGTTAAATATATTCTCCTAGGCAGAAACCCCAAAGGATAAAGTGGCAGTTCAATTGCCACTGCCCTAACTCAGGCAGAATGTGTATGTGTGTGGGTTTGGTCATTTTTCTGAAAACAATGATAAACACCATTATTAAAACCATATAAGTAATAGTTTTAAATAACAAAGTCATTAAATGATTATGACATCAATACACAGGAATAACATAACCCCGTACAACACAATACTTTCCCGATAGATCAGCTACATTTCATAAGGAGGGAAGTAGGGTACAAATTCATACTTCTTGTAAAGACCTCCCTTCTCAACTAGACACGTCACCCATATTCTCCTTCCCTCCAGAAACTAACCATACCTGTCTCATATTTGCAAAGAAGTATGTAGTGTGCAGTCCAAAACCACTGTCACTCAAGTAATTCTTTACAGACCTAGCAACAAATCTGTCATAACTCTAACCCTTTCCAGGTTAGAGCTCTTTATCTGCAAGCCTTGATTTAAAATTTTATGTACAGTATTGATCACACTCTGCTTAGGTATAAAATCCTGACATCTCTGAAGTTTCAGGAGAGCTTCAGTGCATGCAAGCAAGATAGCATATTCTAGCATTTTCAAGTAAATGTCATAAAAAAAACATAGAACTTGCTGGTTCCATAGCATTTACTTGATGGTTTAAGTCATATCACAGTCTGTCTCCTCTCTGCTCCAAAATCTATAGTACTGACAAAAATGCATTCCCTCGGATTATTTTTTTCTGAACTGTTTACAAGTAAAGAGGACTCTGTTCATCCTCTGGAGTGTGAGGAAACACAATTGAACAAAAGTTAAGTGTCCTACAGCAAAGAGGCAGTCTCCTATAGGCCGCTGGCTAGCATTCAGCTACTACTGTTTCATATTATGCAATCTAATAAAAAACATTCTAGGCAAGATTTTTGTCATTCATTGCACAAAAGGATGCAGGAATACAATTTCCATATAAACATCAGAAGAACCAGGCAGTACTAAGGCATATTGCAAACGTCAAATTTTAAAAAGCAAGGAATAGGAAATTTCACTATTGCTGTCTAAAGATAGACCATACTACACAAACATCCATAGAGTTCATAATACCCAGAGCTCATTGAGAAAGTATTTTCCAATACCACCCTCTAAAAGGAGAATAGGTAAAGGAAAATGGGAAAGAAATGTGAATTTTAAACTAAGTTGAAGTATTTTAAAAAAAATGTTCCACGAAGTGGCAGTGACTTTCTGTGCTTCCATGAAACAGACTTATGGACTCTCAATCCTAGGAAAGAAAATAATCAGTTCACATCATAATAGCTTAGTAAGGTTTCAAGAGGCAACTCCTTAAACCAATAAAATTTACTTTTTCATCAGTTGATCTTGTCTGACCATTCTGGAAGTTTACCAGATTTCTTTCAACTGCACAATTCAGAACAATCAGTGGCTCAAACTTAATAATCATACAGTAAGGCAATCCAGACCCCAGTGATGGTAGGGTCTGGGTTACCTAAACAGTCTACTCATTAGAAATGAGGCACTTTGCAGATGATAACTTAAACCTGAACACAGTTGAAGAAAGAGTTGAAAGTCTATGGCTCTAACACTACAGGTATAATTATTTT